AGGGGGCTGCTGGAGCAGGAGCAGTGCCCTGCTGTGGCAGCATGGGGTGGGGGTGGGGGATTACATGGTGTGCAAGGAGGGAAGGGGGCTTGGGAGCTCTCTGCAGGTCCCCTGCCCTCCCCAAATATCCCCAGCAGCTGGGGAGGGCCGGGGGGCTGCTGGGCACCCCTGCAGCCCCCCAGGAACGCAGCGAGGCCGGGCCCCCGCCAGGGCTGGGGCGCAGGGGGGGCTGGCAGGAGGCTGCAAGCGCCTTTGAAAAGCACAACCCCAGATGCCAGCGCCCTGGGAGAGGCTGTTTTGGCAGCGCCCCCCTGGCTTTCCAGGCTGGGCTCCAGAGCGGCTGCTTGGCCGCAGCTCCCGGACGATGCTCTTGGATTTGAACGTTTCAACAGCAAACTCCAAAGCAGCTCCCAAAGCCGCTTCCCGAGGCTCCCTCCCCTGCCAGCAAAGCCAGGGATGCTGACGGCCGGGTTTATGGATAACTCCTGCCCGGAGGGAGCAGGTTTAAACCTCTCACTGCCCACCCAGGGGCTGGGGTTTTTCACTCCCCTCACCCCAAATCCACGCAACTCCTTTCTCAGGGATGAATCCGGATGCAAAACATTCCCATGGGCTTGCTGGCAGCGCGGGGAAGAGCCGGGAGGAGGGATGCAGACAGACAAACCGCAAAGCCCTGGATGAAAATAGTTGAGGGCTGGGGAGAATTTGGCGGTGGCAGGGGGGGGTGTGTGTGGGAAATGCCAAGCGTGCTTTGCCCAAAGCCTTATGCTGGGGCCAGGAGAAGGGCTGGGAGCTCAGGGATGGGGACGGGCCATGGGGAGGAAGGGGAAGAGGCAGGGAGACGCTGTTGGGACCCGCACCCCGAGGACCACGGGGAGAGCCGAGGTGCTCAGGTCACTTTGTGCTTTATTTCTCGCCATGACAAGGCAGAAGGCAATTTCTCAGGCAGCATTAATGATTATTTGTGCGTTAAAACCACACCAAAACCAAGCACGCGGCACAAGTGGCCACAAGCCAGGCCCTCCAGCCCAAACCCCCGAGCGAGGGAAGCCCCCTGGGATGGGGTGGGGGGTGGGGGCGGCCCCGGTGCAGCCTCTGCCGTGGCACGAGGATGGGTCCAGCCCCAAACTGTCTCCCAGCACCCCGGAATCTCCACGAGAGCAAACTGGAGGGCACCGGGACCCTTTTAGCTGCAGAAAGCAGGAGCGATGCCCTGTGCCGCCCTCCTCCCGGCCCCGGCTGAGCTGTCACTTCTGCCCCTCAACCCCCCCAAAAGTACAAATCAAACCCGAAACGCAAAAATCAAACCCTAAAGCTAAAAATCACAGAATCCCAGAATGATTTGGGTTGGCAAAGCCCTTTAAGCTCCCCCAGTCCAAGCGTTCCCCTACCCCTGCCATCCCACCCCCAAACCCTGGCCCTCAGCACCTCGGCTGCCCGGCTGTTAAATCCCCCCCCGGGGTGGGGACTCGACCCCTTCCCTGGGCAGCCCCTTCCAGGGCCTGACAGCCCCAAGGGGAAGGAATTGTTCCCCATGCCCAACCTCACCCTGCCCTGGCACAACTTGAGGCCGGTGCCCCTCGTCCCATGAGAGCAGAGACCTAAAGGTAACAAAAATCACCCCCTAAAGGCAAAAATCAAACTGTAAAAGGCAAATATCACCCTGGGGAGGAGGGAGGGCCCGGGGCAGGGCCAGCCCCGCTCACAGCCTGGAGATCTTGGGCAAGGGGGTGTCGGGGGGGAGCCCCTCCAGCCACTCCAGCAGGATCCTGTTCAGCGCCGCCGGCCTGGGGGGACAGCAGGGGT